ACATGGACTAAGTATTTATTCAATAAAAATTTTATTAACTTTTTAATCAGTCAATTTTAACCATATATTTAATTAATTTTTATCCAAAATTGTTAAAATATTTATAAAAAATTGTCAAACAACCCCTAAAAATTACAAATTTTCTTGCTGAGTTGAACATATTATTTTATGCCGTCACAATTTGGTTTTGATATTTCAGCAGCTTTAAATGTACTAAAAGCAAAACAAGCCCGCTACAAAGAACATGCTTGTCGACAGGCTTTTGACACAAACACATGCACTTGACGAAATTTCATTGAGAGTTCAAAAAAGTAGAATAAAAAGTTACCAAGCCAACTCATCACCATCACCATAACGCAAATCAGAAACAAAATTAGCTCAAGACCTTCCACAAACTCGTAAAACAGCCTACCCTTGCCCACCATACAAAACAACAACCCGATTCACACACAATCAAATATGCAATTTAAACCTTAGCGTCGACGTCAACCCACACCACTCCAGCTGCTTTGAATTCTCACGGTCCCTTCACCACCATCGCCACCACTCACGACACCACATATAAAAATTCGAATCAGAATTGTACGGTCCCTACCAGTACAATTTTATCTCACCACCACCATCGAATTTGCATCGCCACCACCCGATATGCATCGTCTTCACCACCACTAAAAATGACATCACCTCAATAAAAATCAACACCTTGAATCCCATATTCCCATCATTATTACCTCGCATCACAATTGACGTCGTCACCATCTATACAAACATTCGGTCCCAAACCAATCAACAGCCTATGAGTCATGTACGGTTCCTAGCAAGATGTAATAGAATAATGAATTTAACTCTTTCAAAAAGAAGTTAAGGAGAGTAAATGATGTGGGAGCGACGAAAAGACCAGTATGATCAGGATGTTTCGATGCCCTTACTAAAACCAATCATAGATAAAATTTAGGAAAAATTGCATTTACGGTGACAAATATTTCATTTTTATGCAGACTTGATCCAAACCTTTAATTTGTAACACACGTAGTATCAAACATTTAAAAAACTCGCACCGGAGTCCAATTTAACAGAAACTGATAGTTTGTTGACCAAAGAATTGACTTTGACCATACTTTTGACTAATCTTAAAAGGATAAAATAATAACTTTACATTTTCTGTAATAAAATAATTAAAATAAAAAACTCAGACCACACATACCCATCGCACCCAAAAACAAAATACAAAACTAGAACCCGCCCAACTTTCTAACCACAACCACTGACCCCAAACTTCTTACCCCAAAATCACCTGCAACTATCGTCGGCACCATCATCAGCTCTACCCCACGTCGGTGCCACCGCTCCTTCCTCCACCACTATTATAAGATCTCCCAGACCTGTATTCTACAATTACATGCCTTCTTTATATTATCTCGAAATTGGTTTTTGAACAAGTAGTCTAAACAAGTGTTACACCATCAATATTTTGCTTCTTCATCTTTTGTATTCTTCCACTTATGCCATTTCTTTCCAAAAATTGAGGCAGTAGCCCCAAAAACCCTTCCCAAAACCTCTCTACTTGTGCCATTCGGCAAGCCCTCCTCCTTTTGCTCTTCAGTAGGTGGTGGCGTTAGTGGGTTCTTGTTGTGACGGTGGTGCTGGTGGTGTTAGTGGGTTCTTGTTGTGATTTTAATAGGTTCTTAATGTGGTGATGGTGTTTCAATCTCTTTCGTCGTGGAGGCAGCTGATGGGTGGGATCAGGTGGAGATGGCGATGGGATTGTTTTAATTTGTGTTTGAATGTGCGCGGTGGGATGTGGTAGAGGTGCAGACAAGCAAAATTGAAGGCAAAACCCAGATGGGTGGTTTTTCAATCTGGTGTTTCATCGGTTATTATAGGTGGACGGTGGCAATCGGGGAGGCGGTGGTCGGTGGTCGGTCGCTATGGCCGGGAAGTTAGGTGGGTTCTGGTTTTTGGCTTTAGGGTAGGGTATAATGGGGTGAGAATGTCTGGTTTGAGTTTCTCATTTTAATTATTTTATTATAGAAAATGTAAAGTTTGAATTTTATTCTTTAAAAATTAATTAAAATTATGGTCAAGATTAATTCTATGATTAACTAACGATCAAATTAACAGTTTCTATTAAAATAGACTTCGGGTGTGAGTTGTTTAAAATGTTTGGTACTGTGAGTACTACAAATTAAAAATTTTGGTCAAGTCTGCATAAAAGTAAAATATTTGGTACCGCGACTGCAATTTTTCCTAAAATTTTTGATCCAAGATATTCTTGTAGTCACATCAGCGCAGTAAGTCTCAATCACAGTCGAGTCATCATCTAATTTCTTGAACAATGAGTCGAACGACGATACTTTGGCTAAACACCCAAGTAATAAGTCTCAATCATAATTGAGCCATTTTTCAATTGTTTTGACAATAGTCGAACGACGGCACTTTGACAACAGCAAACAACAACCGATGATCGAGAGTGGGCACTAATGATGCTACCATATTTGACTAGTATATTCACAAGCCCCTAACTGCCAAATGCGACCACGACACACATACTTCGATTGGCGGAAAGGTTGAAAAGAAGAGTTGTCAACCTTATTAATGATCAGTAGCTTGGTGGCGAATCATGTGGCCGAGTAATCAATGAGTTATAAAAATATCCAACAAAGACTATAGCATGACACCCCATAAGATGACCTCAGTTAACAATGATCACTCTTCGTTCCTAAAGAGATTTGTGGAGTAACCAAAAATGAATTTCCTCAACCAGCCATGATTTTTGCCATCAAATTCAGAAAATTCGGACACCTATCCCCTGTGCTCATAATCGTTCTTTACCATGTCACCTTGACAAGACTCGTATATAATGAAGTCTAGTCTACAAGGTAAAGCTAATGATAACTTTCTAACTACGGCAAATATTCACTCTCAAATATTATTCCTTACTTTTTTTTTTTTTTAATAAGAACATGTTAACATTTGGGTTTTGTTATTCGTTCAGGGCGACATTCACTCTAGCTTAGGCCCTATCACTCTAGCAAAACCCTTGACATTTTCTAACGCCCACACCTGAGGGTGATCGGAGACGAGATTCTCAACCATTTCTTCCATGGGACTGAGCTGATCGAGACACCTTCGCCACTAGGACAGTGAATTGACCAGCACCATTGATAAATTAAAATTTTTTGTTGTAAATTGTCTAGTCTAATGAGTGATTGAAAAGAATATATCGGCAGTGGGCATAATTTCTTTTTGAAATTTTGAAGCAGTGCCCATAGTCAAAAATAATAGTGATGTGAAATTTTGAAAGCAATTCTTCACCCTTTTTTTTTTTTTTATCTTTTCAACATGTAGTTTTACATATTATTGGTGAGTGTAATTATTTGTTTAAGTTTCATATATTGTTGAGATCAAAAGTTTGTAAAATATAAACTATAGTCCATATTGATAGTTATTACTCCCTCCGTCCCAATTACATAAGCTGAGTTTCCTTTTTCTATTGTCCCAAATATATAGGCTCGTTTCCTAATATATAATATTTTGTTTTGTTCTTTTACTAATATATCCTTATTAAATTTTCCCCACTTAATATTCAAACTTCTTGAAAATTCAAATTTTTTATTAATTCCAACAATAATTTAGTTTTACACACTGAAAATTCAATAGGGATAAATTAGGAAAGATTTTGGCAAA